TGATTCTTGGGTTCTAAAAAGGTTGAAACAGCATTTCTGAGTTTTCTATCTTAAAAGTTTCTCCAAGGGCATTCCCTTGACCCCCCTAGGTAGCTTGTGCCTTCAGTACTTGTGAGACACCTTGCCACAACAAAAAATGTCACTTCCAGTGCTTTTAGAAATATGTCCACTACTTTACAGAAATGTTGAAAATCCTGAAAAGTTGTCTTCATATAAATAATTTTTTGAAGTACAAAAACACTGCTAATAATTACAAGTAATAATTAGTGAACTGAGGTAGAGTAAGTAAATTGGGATCAGTTGATATCAGCTGCAGAATGTGATGTTTAGCTCTGAAATGTCACAGAATACTTGATTTGATAAGCTATTCAGGTGACATCTTTCTAAGTTCCCCAATCCAGCATGTACATGTACACTATAGGTCAGGCAGAAGTTGAATTATGAAAAAAAAATGACTGATACAAAGAGTTGTTTCATTTCTCTGGATTGTGTAACATGTTGTTTGAATGCTTGTTTTTTAACTCTTGAAAAAGATGAAGAAAAAGGGCCAAGGCCTGTTATTTTTTTGGAAATTCCAAACTGAAATTCACACTAATTAAACCTATAGAAATTGCTGCCAACAGGTACACAACACCACACATGTATCAGAACATCCTTGCAGAAATTGTACATGCAGCTCTCATTGGATATATCAAAGTGCCAAAGACAGAAACTATCAAAATTTCAAACATTTTTGTGTGGATGTATACTCAGTTAACCACTCCTTAAATAGGGCTTTTCAGGGCCAAAATGAAAAAATTGGACTGAAATACTGAAACACAGAAGTGGCATATGTGTCAAATACACTGTATGTAATATGTACGATTGCTTCAGATTCCACCGGTTGCTTTATTTGAGTACCAGTCATATCACATTTTTTTGTCAAAATTTTAAGGGATTAAGCTGAGATTTAGCTCTTGTCTGCTGGAATATGGTGTCCATCAGCAAAAATATTTCCTGAAACTTTAATGCATTATTAAGGTAACTGTATAGTAGCAAAGTGTGAAAATTTTTCCTTCCTGTTTAGCCACATTGAAAAAGAAAAATCCATAAAGCTGCTATTTCATTTCTTGGAGGACCTCCCCTGGGATCTTTCAACTCAAATAAAAAAAAGTATTCTGCTTTGTGAGACTGAACCCTTAAAGAAGGTTTGGTGGCTTTAGAAAGGAAATGAAGTTTTGTTAACTGAAGGTAGAATGTGATGAACTTTCACACCAAAGGCATTTCAATACATTTTGGAGCCCAATGTTTATCACTGGTCAATTTTCATGTTAAGATACATCTAGAAACCTTACGATCCTTTACATTAGAGAGCTTTGATAAAAGTGGAATTGGACATGACTGAAAGGGCTTTGAATTAATGGCAGATTTCCCCAAGATACACCTTGCCTGCCTGCCTACTAAATCCAGATTTTCTTCTTGCATAACATACATACATGAGAATGTACCATGTTCTTTTCTTTCCTTTTTAGGTAGAATTGGAGGACTGTGCCTTTTAATTTTGAGTTAAAATGGCAGCTTCTGCACCCTCACCCCTGGTCAGCTCCACAGAGAAGACAAATGGAGCCAAGCTCAGCAGACTTCTCATAGATGGTGGAACCACAGTTTTAAAAATGGTTTTTGACCGCCATCATTCTCCTGCAAACCTGGCTATGGATCTCACAGCCAACCGTCCAAAACTGTGCAATCTACTGAAGAGAAGGGTTTTACATAAGCCTCAGTGGGACAAACTGTTTCCACCCAGTGGGAGTACACCAGATTCAAACAATTTTGACATAACTCTTCTTTTTCTTCTTCTGACTGAGATTTGTGGGCTTTCTCCTCCCCCCTCAGGGTGGCACAAAAAACCACCCTTGAGTGACACTACCTTAGAGGCTAACCTTGCTCGCATAAAGTTCTTTCGAAATGAGTTATATGGTCACGTGTCCACCACTGGCATCGACTCATCAACATTCTCCCATCTTTGGAGGGAAATAAGTGACGTTCTTGTTGCTCTTGGGCTAAATAAAGCAGACGTAGATAGACTAAAGGCTGAGTACTGTGGAGAGGAAGATTATCTTCAAATGTTGTTTGAGTGGGCTGATAGTGAGAAGGATCTTAAGTCACAACTAAAAGAAATAAACCAAACTATCGATATGGTACACCAAAACCAAACACAGGATGCTGAGATGCTACAGCAAATGAAGTCAGAGCTGCATGGAGTATGTCACACTCAAACCAAAATGCAAGAAGAGGTATTAGAAGTGAAAAAAAGTATTGAAGACTTAAACCAAAGAGGGCAGGCTAACAGAACAGAAGAGATTCTGAACGTCCTTGCAAAGTCCGAGTTTGAAGGGGACATTGAGTTTCATGTGTCAAGATTCCAGGAAGGAACTCGCGAGTGGATCTTTAAAAAAATCGAGGGTTGGCTTGATGACAGAAGTTCCCCAAATCGTGTGATGGTCATT